AGCTAATTCAGTGAGAACCTGCCATCATTATAGCTTCATTTGGATGCTTCACTTTAAGTTTGATGACTTCCATGTCCTGTAAACATGGAGTGTCTGCCAGTTTGAAACTGGATGTTGGACACTAACAATATATGTTTGGTAACATGATCCAGTTTACACTGGACAATGCACAGTGCACAATGTCAGCTGCTCCAGTTTCATAGCAGAATTCTGAGTTTAAATAATAGGAACGAGGTCTTGAAGCATGAATGTTTGCCAACTAAATGTACAGTGTAATTTATCACCTATTCTTTAAATCTGATTAATTTCTAAAATACATTTCCATAATCCATAAAACGTGTTTTCCACTCTCCACATCAGAATGTGTATCTTATTATGTTAAGCATGCCTTCTCTCTAGCAGCACCTTTAGAATGAGGTTTCCCTACCCCAAGATCCAGATGTTCTCCCACTCTGCTATTGTTGTACCTCAAACCTTTGGCGAGGGAGAGTGAGAACCCTTGCTTCATTACAACGGATCTGCTGTGTTTGGCATTTTCTATCTTCCATTAATTTTATTATAATTTCTTTGATGTGAACTGCCATGGTGATGATGATGATGATTTTCAGTCTTTGGGGTAAAATGACGCTTTCCTTATTTTTCTTCTGCTTTACAAGGTACCAGCTGAATCTTTTTGCTCGGATGTGCCTTGATCGCCAGTACTTAGCTATAAATGAAATATCTGGACAGTTAGATGTTGACCTTATTCTTCGCTGCATGTCTGATGAGAATTTGCCTTACGACTTGAGAGCTTCATTTTGTCGACTGATGTTGCACATGCATGTTGACCGAGATCCCCAAGAACAAGTGACGCCAGTGAAGTATGCTCGACTATGGTCAGAGATACCATCTGAAATAGCAATTGATGAGTGAGTATTTGTGACCAAATGATTCTCTGAATGAAGCATGGCGATCTTAAATCCTTGGGAGTACTTCTTACTGTTAAAGAATTTTCTTGGAGGAGAATTGCCATGTTAGTCTGTTGTTGCAAAAAACAAATCAGAAAGAGTCTAACAACATCTTTTCCAGCTCACAAAATTTTATGCCTTCTAATAAAATTGGTTAGTTGAAAAAAAAGGGCTTACTATAGTCCTTCTAGTAAGAATTTCCAGTATCACTTGTCACGTTCTATGCCCGTGGTGGCAAACCTATGGCACGGGTACCAGAGGTGGCACTCAGAGCCCTCTCTGTGGGCACGCGCGCCATCGCCCCCATCCTAGGCCTTCAGCTGGGTTTTATAAAACCTTTTCGCTTTAGGCCTCCGCCGCCATGCGCAAAAAAAAAAAAAGGTTCAATCAATCAATCAATTTCAACTTCTCGCAGGGAAAAAAGATCTTGCACAGTTGGAATTGATTGATTGAACTTTTTAGTCCCACCCAGTCTGCCATTACTACCGCAGCCACGCCCACCCAATGAGCCACATCCACCCAATGGGCCACACCCACCTGGCACCCGACGATGCATAAGTGGGTTTTGGGTTGCAGTTTGGGCACTCGGTCTCTAAAAGGTTCGCCATCACTGTTTTATGCAAATTATCAAATTGTACAAAATATTCTGTAAATATTTTGGACTACAAGGCTGTGTAAGGCTGTGTAATGTAATAAACACAAAAAAGCTAATTTAGTGAGAACCTGCAATTGTGTAATGGCACAAATTATAAAATTGTGCTCGACCTATGACCACAATTGAGTCCAAAATTTATGTTGCTAGGTAAGACATTTGCTAAGTGAGTTTTGCCGCATTTTATCACCTTTCTTGCTATAGTTAAGTGAATCACTGCAGGTGTTAAGTTAGCAACACGGTTGTTAAGTGAATCTAGCTTCCCCTTGTCAGAAGGTTGCAAAAGGGGATCATGTGACCCTGGGACACTGCAACCGTCATAAATATGAACCAGGTGCCCAGCATCTGAATTTTGATCGCGTGGCCATGGAGATGCTGCAATGGTCGTAAGTGTGAAAAATGTGTTACTTTTTTCAATGCTGTTGTAACTTTGAATGGTTGCTAAATGAACTGTTGTAAGTCAAGGACTACCTGTATTTTCATAAAGTGTTTAGTGTTTAATCTAAATCAAGTAATACATTTCTTGCACATACTTTTTTTTCAAAAAAAAAAAGAAGGCAGAACTTTTTAAAAATTGTCCCATTTTTTTTCTTGTTTTTGGATTCTTGTTTAGTTACGACAGCAGTGGAACTTCCAAAGACGAAATCAAGGAGAGGTTTGCACAAACTATGGAGTTTGTGGAGGAATATTTGAGAGATGTTGTTTGCCAAAGATTCCCATTTTCTGATAAAGAAAAAAATAAACTCACCTTCGAGGTAAATGTTTTTAATGCCTCAAGCTGAGCTACAAGATCAAATGTCAGTGATGCTAACCATAAGTGACTCGGTGGTCAGATCATGTACACATATTTGTAATATTTTCTCGAGTCTGCCAGTTGATTTATTCATAAATAAATTGCATAGCACCTGCCCAGCATACCAAACAAAAAAACAAAACAAAACAAAAAAGATTAAAAACGCAGATCCAAATTGAGTTAAAAAAGATTAGGGGGCAAAAGAAAAAAAAGATTTCTGCCAAGTAGAAAACCTTCTAGCAAATCCTGCACTCGCTGAAAAGATAATATCAATAATTAAAAGCAGTTTCAAATGTTTTCCAACAACTTATTCTATTTGCTTAGTTTTATACCTTTCTGTCCCCAGTAGGCTGCCTTGAATAGGAAGTTTGCTAGCAAATTATAGCAATAACTATGCAATAGAAACAGCAGTAAAATACAATTGGGCATACATCTCAGTATGCTAATAGCAGCATCTTAAAATACTTAAGAGAACAAGGACGTTTTCATGTGGCACTGAGAAGCCATAATGGAGATGCTGAATGGCCTCTCTAGAAAGACTTTTCAACAAATATGTGATGTTGCCGCAGAAATTGTCTTTTTTTGCTACCATCTGCCTCATGTAAAAGACCTACAGAATTTGTCTTCTGCTTTAAATGCTGGAGATTTTCCAAAATCATAGGTAGAAGTTTTTACCCACTCGAAAGTGTTTTGGTCATTAAAAATCTAATCTAATCATGAAAGAAAAAATAATAATTAAATGGCTGACAGATATAATACGTTAAAACGGAACTGTTCTTTTGCTATTATTTGTGTTGTATTGTATTATTATGTAAATAATAACTGAAAATAAACAATCCCCTCAACATCAGAAAACCTAAATTATTATAAAAACCAGAAGTATAAAATCTGGAAAAAACATAGTCACTGATTATTCAGTATTATAGCACTGATGTGTATTTTAGAATAAGGGTTTTTAGAAACTTACTATTTTGCATAAAAATATTATTTCTACTTTTATTTATTTGTCAGATTTAAGAAGAGAGATTCTGGATGGTGTGCAATAAAATATTAAAAGCATAAAAATAGTATATAAAATTTCAAAGAGGGAAGGAATGTTAAAATTAATTAAAAAATGGGGGGGACTTTCAGGGCTGACTTTGGTATCTTAGACAATTTTATGAATTTTAGAAAGAATATTGAGTTTGTAAAAAAAAAAAAGTCCAGTTCAACTGATTACCGTATCTTTTCTTCTTTTGAAAACAGGTTGTGAACTTAGCCCGAAATCTGATATATTTTGGCTTCTATAATTTTTGTGATCTTCTAAGACTAACAAAAATTCTCTTAGCTATTCTGGACTGTGTACATGTTGCAACTATTTTCCCTATTACAAAGGCAACAAAAGGAGAAGAAAGTAAAGGTAAGAATGGCAAGAAAAAGTGGAGGAGACGTTGAGAGACATTTGATCCATGAAATAATATGATGACAAGGCCAATTGCGGTATTAGATTGCTATCCACAATCATTTTACACCAAGAATCAGGATAGTGTTTCCTACAAATGCATTCCAATGTAGAGATTAGAATCTTATTTATAACATTTATAATTTTTGTTTGGTATTATTCAAAAATGCAAGTTTGTGAGCTTACATGAAATCTTGTACTTACAATCTTGAGAGTTTGAAATTATACATTATGATAAGTTCTCAACAGTATTCCTTGAACGGTAATTTGTGGGAGTATCTTGCAAAATGCCAATACAGAGAATTGGTGCCATTGCATATAATAATAAATCACTCTGCTTTGTAGCTTTCCACGGACCCTTCTGAATGCTGAATTTTTTCTTTTATAAAAACAATCTTCCCTAGGAGTCTTGAATTAGTATAACCAAACCCAAATGGAATTTATGAAACAAACGTAATTTTAAAAATGATTGGAATTTTAATAGATGCTTTTGTAGTTTCAGTTTCTTATTTACAATGCATATACCAAGTTATTTTGGTTGGCCAAAAATATGATTTTTAGCATCTGTTTCAGCTTTTCGTGCATAATAACTAGATAATACTACAGATGGCATAGTTATACTTTGAATCTGTAGAACACCCATGGGTTTCTCTTGATTAAAAATTATGCAACTCTAGTTCTGAAATAATGCATGAGAGTCAGTTTAGTCTAGTGTTTAAGGTACCAGGCTAGAAAACAGGCAACTGTGAGTTCTAGTCCCGCTTTAGGTATGAAATCTGGCTGGGTGACTTTAGGCCAGTCATTCCTCTCAGCCCAACTCACCTTACCTCACCTCACCTCACAGGGTTGTTGTTGTGGGGGAAATAGGAGGAGGTAGGAATATTAGGTATGTTTACTACCTTGAGTTATTTATAAAAATAATAAATGTGGGCTATAAATAAATAAATGCAAATTTAAAATGTTTGTCTGGGGTATTTATCTGTTTCTGAAGGGAGCAATGTGATGAGATCGATCCATGGTGTTGGAGAGCTCATGACTCAAGTGGTACTAAGAGGTGGTGGGTTCTTGCCTATGACACCTTTGGCTGCTGTCCCGGAAGGTAACGTGAAGCAAGTTGAACCTGAGAAAGAGGACATCCTGGTAATGGATACCAAACTGAAAATAATTGAAATCCTCCAGGTATACTTCAGATGGCACAGCATGGGCATTTTGGCTTATGTCAGTTCATTCTTACATGGTTTTGATTTGATGCACAAGAATCTTATCAACTAAAGTTCAACACTTAATTGGTGCCAGATAAGACTCAACGAAATTCAGGAGGAGTTGGACTTGGAGCCCTTTTGGGAATGCAACAGCTCTAAGCTGATAATGCATTTAACTCTGCCTACTAGCTCTGTCTGCTCTGCTCCTGCTGCTCCTTCCCAACCTTAGAAAGAAGGCAACATTCAATCCAACAGATTTATAGTTTTTTCATTATCTTCAGAGGTCTCTGAACTGCATGAAGCTTTGATTCTGTTGTTCCCCTTTCAAATCACTATTGATTCAAATGAAATTTCTTCTTACTTCAATTGATTTTAAGTATAGAAAATAATCTCACTTACTTAATATACTTCAAATGTTTTGTTGTTGTGTCTTTTTATACCATGCATTTCTGGCTGAGGTTTGCAAATCCTTTAAATGTGCTAAACTTAAGATCCATCAAACATTGAAGCTCATTTGTCTCTTGGAATACAACCTGGATACGATTGTATTATTAATATTGTTTTCATTTTTTGTTCAAATGTTGGAACCGGCAGTTTATTTTGAATGTGAGATTGGATTACCGAATCTCATGCCTTCTGTGTATATTTAAACGAGAATTTGATGAAAGCAATGCACAGACATCTGATTCACCTTCAGGGAGCAATAATCAAGAAATGCCAAATGTACCAGGTCAGTAATTTGCATATTGTTGTACTACAGAATATGAGCGCCCATTTTTCAGCTTGGGAGCTGTTGTTTTCGCTCTCGCTGATGATGGATCCCTTCCAGTGAGGGGAGTATCATCAAAAGAGGCAGTACAGAAAGTATTGGCCCATTATTTTTAAGATTTGTCAGATGGTTTTAAAGCTGTTGGTGGTGCATTTTGGGTCACAAAAGCTTAAATATATCCATTTTCACGTTGATGTTTTGCATTAAGATTTAAAATACATTTTGGCAGTTTCAACCTTTTTCCCACTGACTTTTTTATGACAGACGTAAATATTTTTATTTTGTCTTGCACAAGATGAGCACATTCTTTTCCAGTCTAACACACCAAAAATGTCCTATAATATTGATTTTAGTCAGAATAAATAGCAATACTCTGTAGGTTATTTCTTGTGGCAATTAATAACTAGAGCAGCTCAGTATAAAATAAAGCAACATCCACTCCACTTTCTGAGCAAAGTGGAAGTTATGGCAATTTGCTACCATGTGTGTTGCAAAAGATGTAAGCGTGGGTTAAACTAAGATTTCTTGTATCTTTGGCCTGGCGTTCAGAGTTGCAGTCCCATACCTCTGGAAGATGCCAGATTGGGAAAGTGTCTAAATGTTGTAATCAGAATATTTTGATTTACACATTTAAGTGAAATGTGAGATCTTTGAGTTCCTGATAATCTACTGTTTGTATATTCTGTGTAAATATACAGTTCATAAATCCAGCATCTTTTCATATACGAATTCATGAATCAGTGGTATTAGGGGGGGGAAAAAGCACAGATGGATAATATATAAGTTGCTTATTCGTCTTCTGCTGAACTGGGAAAATGACAAGAATATGTTTTAAAATATTATTTTAAAAAATAGAGCATCATCTGCTACTACCTCATTGTCTTAGTATAAACTGTTCCATTAAGCAATTTCTGTGCAAACTGTTTAAATTCCCTCACTGACTTAATTTATATAATGCTTTTTTTCAATTTTGAAGTACAGAAAACTGCCTTGCTTATGAGGTGTAGGTTCTTACAATTCACTTATTTTATTCTACAGAAAGGGAAAAAAATGATGGCTTGATTTGAATTATTGTTTTATTGTTCTGAACTCAGCATAGAGCATGTTATTTGTTTTCCTTTACAGGTGCTCTTGACTTTGAAAATATTGAAGAACAAGCAGAAGGGATATTTGGAGGCAGGAAAGTAAACTATGGCAATTTGTATTCTTTTGTTCTCAACTATATGTAAAATGGTTTCTCCAAACCTGATGTTTATAGTTTTAGAGGATACATTCTGGGGGTCCACAGTACACTACTGGTGTGCCCATGGGTATCTCTTTCGGTGCCTTCTACGACTCTTTTGTGATTGAGCATGCCATCTTGGGAACTATTTCCCAAGAAGACTATGAATATGTTCTCCAAAGTACAGAGGTATCTCCTTGGCCAAAAAGATTGTGAGCATTCAAATCACTTGTACCAATTATTCAAGAACCCACTTAATTACATTTAAGCCTCCAGCATTACCTTCCTTTGAAAACACAATTGAAAGTTACAAACACGAGAGTTGTAGAAGTATATGCAGTAGATATCTCAGCATAGACAGCAGACAAACAAGCCAGAAACATAATTAATCATTTTATAATTACTTTGTTAAAACATATTCTAAAAGTATGCATATGGGTATGGATGTGTACGTATGTATGTATGTACAGGTAGTCCTTGACTTAGAAGAGTTCATTTAGTCACCCTTCAAAGTTACAATGGCACTGAAAAATGTGAGCTATGATCATTTTTCACAGTTATGACCTTTGCAGCATCCCCACGATCATGTGATCAAAATTCAGATGCTTGGCAGCTGGTTCATATTTATGACCATTTCTGTCACATTCTGGTCACCTTTTGTGATATTCTGACACACAAAGCCAGATTCATTTAACAACCAGGTTACTAACCTATCAGCTACACTGATTCACATAACAACTGTGGCAAGAAAGGTTGTAAAATGGGGCAAAACGCACTTAACAAATGTCTCATTTAACAACAGAAATTTTGGACTCAGTTGTGGTAGTAAGTCAAGGACTAACTATATATGTGTGCTTGTGTGTGTGTGTGTGTGTGTGTATAGATATGTATGTATGTATGTATGTATGTATATATATATGTTATCCAAATAAATACAGACCACCAAGAGAGCATCTATAAAATATAGAATTTAATCTACCTAGCTTTCGTCAACAAAACGTTTGACATCGTCAGGGTTAAAAGGCAAGTACCGATTGAAGTCTTATATGCCGTTGCCGAGTGTCTGTTTCCGGCTCCTGGAGTGTGTGACTGGCCCCTAGCTGATCCTGCCGTACTTCGAGCCTATTGCTCACGTCATCGTTCACCCCTCTCTTTCTCCGACCTTGTGTTTCCTCCCCTACCACCCCATTCGCTATTGTAATGTTATGCGTATTCAGGGGCCAGCTGTTACAGCCCTTCCTTTGTGCAGCCTCTCCAGTATTCCGTATGTGATGTATCCCAGGTCCGAGGGGGGGAGGAGAGGGGGATCATATATATATGTATATATATATATGTATATATAAAATATGGAGAACAGGATGGCTCAATTTTTAAAGACGCTGAACGTTAGCTGGAAAGCTGACAGCCCAGATTTGAAACATGAATGGGGAGACTTCCTGTCCTTGCCCCAGCTCCTGCTCACCTAGCAGTTCAAAAGTATGCAAATGCAAGTAGATAAATAGGTACCAGTTTGGTGAGAAGGTAACAGCATTCCATGTGCCTTGGCATATAGTCATGCTGGCCACCTGACCATGGAAATGTCTTCAGACAAGGCTGGCTCCCTCAGCTAAGAAATGAAGATGAGTACCGCCCCCCAGTATCAGATACAACTGGACAGGGGAAACCTTTACTTTTACCTTTATATACATATACCTATCAGAATGGAAAAAAATAGAGAGAGGAATATTACTGAAAGGGGCGTGGCCTTCTGTCACATGTGGATGAAAGGGAGTTGGGAAATTGCAATTGGAAAAATGAAGACAAGCCGGGTAGAGCTCACCTGAACAGTTTTGCAGTCAATGAAAGAAAGAGGTTACTACTTTTCTCCTAACACCAGATGAAGTACAGTCAGAGAAACTGAGATGTCCTTAAGCTTACTTAAGAAGTCAGAGTTGTTACTTTTGTTTTAATGTTGTTATATTTTGTGTTTTCAGTGAAGAGAATACGCCACTAGATTTGGATGATCACGGTGGCAGAACTTTCCTGAGAGTTTTGCTCCATTTAACCATGCATGACTATCCTCCGCTTGTGTCTGGGGCGCTTCAGCTACTCTTCAGACACTTTAGTCAGAGGCAAGAAGTCCTCCAGGCCTTTAAACAGGTAAATGTTTAAAGCCGTGCAATGTTCTCTGTTTGCTTTGAAATATGTAGAGCAAACACTTATTGCAACTAACCGATTGCAATTCATGTAAGGTTCAACTGCTTGTTACCAGCCAAGATGTTGACAATTACAAGCAGATAAAGCAAGATTTGGATCAGCTGAGGTCCATTGTTGAAAAATCGGAACTCTGGGTCTACAAAGGACAAGGGCCGGAT